AGAGAGAGAGAGAGAGAGAGAGAGAGAGAGTGTGTGTATATAAGGACTGCACTTCTTTTAAATTGATGGACTATACACATCACACTAGAATCCAAAGCCTCTTATCTGCAGATTAACACAGTGCAGAAGGTTCTCTAATATTATTAAGACAATAGGTCTTGAATACAGCCTGGAAAAAGTCTCTAGTTATGTATGTCCATGTTTTTTCTAAAATTAGGTTCTGCATCATCCACTTTGAAATGAAAAGGGACTAAACTCCATTTTAGAAAGCACAACAACAGCTGCTTTTACCTTCTTGGAAACAGGTATCTACTTGGGATGTGATCCCACAGTATTAAAGTTTTGCAATCCTCACTTTTAATTGTTAACATAGCTTTTTTTTCCTAAGTGCACAGAGCAAGATGAAGTTAAGATGTAAATCTGAAATATTTTAAATTGCATTTTTATTATACAGGGCCAGATATAAAATTAAAATGTACATTTTATAGTATGACTAGATCCCAAAAACACAGGGATAATCTAAGTTCTTGGTTACTCTCTGTTTTCAAATACCTAAGACATTTTGGCCAAGATACTCTTCACATACAGTAGTAAGTGTACACTCATCAACAGTTTGCCCATGATTCAGGAAGAAATCCACCACTGATATTCTTCTACAAAAATTTACACACCGTGATACAGCTGATAAAATGTTTGGAAGTTACGATTTCTGATAACAGTATTTCTCTTGAGGTTCAATTACAAATCAATCTGCTTACCTGGCACTAATTTATCTGAATATATAATTGTATGAATGTATAATTGTATCAGAAGCTGATATGAACAGTGTAGTTACTTGTTAACCTGCTATTGTAAAGAGAAGGGAAGTGAATGTAACACATGTGCACTTCATTTTCTTTTCTGCTATGCAGCTGTGACAAACATTTTTTTGGCTGCCACAATACAGCGCTAGATTTTGCCATATGGCATTAACCTGTGATAACCAGGAAATGACAATAATGATGATCTGATAGAACAAGATAGCATTGTGTCTCTGTAATATGGAAGATAGGAAAGAGTACAACATGTAATAATCAGAACTTATTGTTTCCACTGGAAACTGTGGCAACAAGAAGCGACAAATAATTATGTCCTGCTAGCCTTATTTCCATGAATTATGGAAGATGGGGAAGGGTATGCCAGAAAAAAATTGTCTGTAGTGGCTCAGAAAGGAATAACAGAGTGGATTAAATTGAGCAGAGTAAAAGTTTAGAGTAGATACCAGGAAAATTAGTATCAGATGTACTATAATCTTTGCAGTGATAGAGTGGTATCAATCTCATCTGCAGAACTATGCAAATTTAGACGACACAATGCACGATGGGACAAATTCTTCCCTCTGATGTACACATCTAACTCTCAATACAATGTGCATCTGAGGACAGAAAGGTGGCCAAAATTCCATTTTCAAAGACTTAGAGGAGGGACCCTCTCCTTTAGGCACAGAAACAGTGTTCTGTATTTCAGCTTGTCCTTCTCAATGGTAGGTTGCTGGCCAAATGATAACCCAAAGCTTGTGATACTATTGGATAAATTTTCAGAATGTAAAAAATAAAAATTTCACATGTAATCAGAAAACATTTGTTAGAGGTTTTCAAAATGTCTTTTAGAACCATTACACTATCTGAGATACTGGATTATGTCCCTATTATTGTCAACTGAGACAATAACTTTGAAAGAGGAACAATGGATAGTAGTCCATGCAACTGAAATTTCATCACTGAAAAAGCCATCACATTGGCAATTCATTGGGACACGCATTCTTATTTTCTTCAGCTGTATTATTCTGCTTCTCACTTTTGTAGCTAGAAAGGAATAAGTTTTCTATCTGAGTCAAGAATTCTTCAGCAATGAAGCAGTTCGTTACCTTGCCCAGAGTCTTCCTCATACACTCCAAAAGCTAGTTTAAAAGAAAATTAGTATTAAGTTCAGTAGAAAAAAACGAAAAACAGTTTGGTCTTTCTAGCTGATAAATGCTGTAAGAGTAAACCTTGATTTATTTGGCAGGTTTGCAGAAACCGTGCAATATAAAAACTGTATACAGGGATTACCATAAAGAAACAGATCAGTGATCCCTTTCAGTCTGGGGCCCTGACTCTGATAGTTCCCTATACCAACTGCTTTAGAGGAAAGCCAAGCACAGCTGGATCAATTGTGCTTAAGGGAACAATTATTTTTTACTTTAGCTGGTGATCAGTTTGTGTTCAATAATTGGCTATGAAATATAGGCTTGAAATAATAATCTTTGCAACACAGGACGTACATTATTCTATAGACAATTATACACAGGATTTTTTTTTACCATAAATCATACAATAGTTAAATTCAAAAGATCTTTCTGCCAGTTCAATTTTAGGTTTAAGTTGTTTATGAACAGTCATGTTGAAAGAAAAAAAATAAATGAGAGTAATTATTGCATGTCTTCTGTTTATATGACTTTTGCTTTGAGCAAATTTTCTGTGTTGTTTATACAATTAATGTTACAGATTCAATTATTCAGAACTTCATAAAATTCTCACTTATGCATGACAAATATGGAGTAACACCATTTTAAGAACAGGATAAAGGATTTAGGAGACTAATTCTCTCAATGTGCGACAACTCTTGCTGACGTAATAGAAGTCAAACATGCAGAGGAGAGGCAAAAATTTGCTTTTTTTCCCTTTTAACTAAGATTAAAACTTCAAATATTAATTTAACCGTTGGCCTCAACTCCAAAAATGAAGTCAACAGCAAATATGGAAACATAACCCAACCTTATTTTCATAGTTATGGTAAATAAAATTATGAGCTGCAATATAAAAGATATGTATTGCAACTGGCCTAAAATTGTGATTTTCATGGCTGAGATTATAGATGTTTCAGATTACTCCAAAAAAAGTGACATTTAAAAAATTTAAAGGCTTACTTTTTGCAAACAGGTCAGGTCAGAATCCCTGTGAAAGATTTTATCCATGGGGACACTGCTATTGGAAAAAATATAAATAGTCTTGATTGGATGAAATGGACGAATCTGTTTTCTATTGAAATACTAAGAATAAATACACAAAAACTGTAATGTGGCTTATCTTAAAAACAAGTATATTGCAAGCAAACACACACATACCTATGAGAAAGCCTGTATTTTTCGATTATCCATCTTGTTTTTTCAAACACTAATTCCCACTGAGGTTCTTCCAACATCTGATGTACTTCAAACTTGTAAGGCAGGCCTGTAAATCATTAAAACAGGATTACTCCCTGGTTCCCTTATACCTGCCACTCCTCTTCAAATCTGGAAGCAATCTCCCTCCTTCCTTGCAACTGTTCATACTTTACTTATGCCTGTTGCAGCAACAATAACTTGCAAACCTATTACTTACCAACACTAAGCAGGTTGAAGTGACACTGTCAGCTAGTTTAAGGCTTCAAATTTAAGTTTGATAGAAAAACAAAGTTTTTTTCATTAAATTATACCACATTTTTGTTTGGGGTTAAACTTTCAAAACAAAATAGCTCTGCAAAAGAATAGTAAAACAGCAAAACTAAACATTTTATAATTTATCACCACTTTCCTTTATTTTTAAAGTCACATTTCTCATCTCTTGGCTGGTGTCCCAGTGTTCCCTGTGGATTAAACCATATGGGTAATATGTATTCTTTTTTATTCACAAGTGAGGTGTGGTGGCTGATACTGTGGTGACTGATTGTTACCCTAAGTTTGGGGGGAGGGTAAGAGAGAGTAAGGAAAGTTAAGTTTCTAAGCAAGAACTTCAGTCTTAAAACTTCTAGTTACATTACTGAGAATGGGCATAGATGAACAAACCTTTAAGGAATCACTGAAGGACCATGAAAGACACTGAAAAATATACTATGTATCTAATATTGTAATTTATTTAACTAACAAGAACAATTGTATAGAAAGAAATAGATTTGTTTTTAAGACACGTGTATGAATTATGTTTCTATCTGCACTGACTGGGAAGGTGGCCACATGGTTAATATTCCACATAAGATACCAGAGTTTGGTTTCCAAAAGTGTAGAAGGTTATATTTAAGAAAAATGTATTTACTCCTTATAGTGCATCTATTTGCCACCTGAAAACAAGTCGTCTCCACAATCTACGTAACAAAAAGATGACAATGACTAAGGCCAGGTATTCACAAGCACTTTAGCTGTGAGTCATAGGAAAGTCAAGATGGCAGGAACAGGGTTACTCTATGTGATGCTGTCAGTATGGTAATCAAGGAGTACCACAAAAAGGTCATCTACACTCTGCCCACAGCATTGGGAAGCACATTTCCAGGTGGTTGGTCTCTCCTCAGTACAGGCCATTATAAAACATAATGAGGGAAGTGTCAGATCTATCTATCTTCCCCAACCCCGCAAGATTCAAGTCCCTGATGTTTGGAGGCAAAGGCTGAGTTAGGGGACAGCATTTATGAACTGTGGAAAAGGAAAAATTAATTCTAATAATGGACTGTTATCCTGTGACTTTTCCTCAGATCAGCAAGGGAGTAAACACAGGAAACAGATCAATTCTTATAGTCCTTGTAATTTTTATACAAAGTATCTCTAGGAATTTTTTTAAAAAGGGGAGGGGGAAAATATATAACACATGAGATGAGGCTAAATGAAAGGTGTGTCTACATGAAATGGGATTCGGAGTCTTCTGTGAGGTGTCAGGGTTTTTTTCCATCAACACTGTGCCCCCCACGTCGTATTTATTAGTTATCAAAATATCCAAGGACTGGTCTACACTGGGGGGGGGCGGGGGATCGATCTAAGATACGCTATTCGCGTAGCTGAAGTCAAAGTATCTTAGATCGAATTACCTGGGGTCCACACGGCGCGGGATCAATGGCCGCGGCTCCCCCGTCGACTGTGCTACCGCTGCTCGCTCTGGTGGAGTTTCGGAGTCGACGGTAAGCGCGTTCGGGGATCCATAAATCGCATCTTAACGAGACGCGATATATCGATCCCAGATAAATCGATTGCTACCCGCCGATATGGCGGGTAGTAAAGACGTACCCCGAGTCAAGAATTGATAAATTTAAGAGATGCTTACTAGCCAAAAGAATAAACCTGCCAGCCAGAGTCGATATGTGAAACTGGGTGAAATGGAGCAAACCTGGAAGGTCTATGGGCAACATCCTTATAAGTAGCCCATTTTGTACTGCTGGAAAGGGGAAGAGAGCTGGGATTCCTGCCAAATTATCAATCCCGGAATCTGTTTGGGACTACATCTTTTCATATTAGCCTCTGGCTGATAGGTATGATTAGTGTGAACTCCCTCTGCACGCCAAATTTCCAACTACTAAAAAGTAGCCTGCAGTTATAGTACCCCTTCATCAATCTCTCTTCTTTGCTTCTCCACCCCTCTTTCTAGGTCTCTGTGATAGCGTGGTCCTCCTCGCCTCCATGCCTGTGTCTGCTCATAGCTTTCTGAAGGAGCAGAGTGAAAGTGACATAATCCTTAAGGGTTTCACTGGTGTCCACAGAGTTCTGAATACCAACAGTGAAACTGACCAGTCTTGATAACTTCACTTGGCTGTGATCTGGGAAAGCCATGAGCAGCAGCAGAGACAATACATGTCTGTATGCAGCCAGGAAGACAACACTAGATCTTTGTATAGTTGGAAGTATTCCTTTTCACTCATGAGGTCACAAAATACTAATGGTTTTTTAAAGTAAAAGTTAAATTGTGCAGGAACTGATGGTTTAAGCCCCTCCATTTCAGGGAAAGCTGCCCAACTTCAGAGATGGGAGACTCCTTCAAGCCCTTGTTCAAATGTTAAGAATATAAATTTTCCATCTAAAATCCTGAAGGCTCAAGAGGAGTGGGGTAAAAGTAATTAGTTCAGATACTTACGGTATGAGCCATCAGAACTAATCTCATCACTAATAACCAGACAAGTAATCTGGGAATATGGAAGAGGATTATTTCGGTTATAAGGACTTATGATCATTCCAATGAACATTGCCCCGCCTCTGGAGAAATAACTCTAAATGAAGGAAAAAATAAAATTGGTAATATATTTTCTAAGTGCAATACAAACTCCTCTTCCAACTATCTTTTATATTAAAAAATTAGAAGATAGAGAGAGACATTAGTAAATCCTTACAAATCTGAGGTTACCCTAATGTAAATATAGAATATTATATTTATTATCCTTTCTTCCCTCAATTTCAATTAAACCATCTCTAAATTAATCATTGTAAGACTCTGTAAAGCTAAAAATCAATTTACAACCAAAATGATTTTCAATTGTGCAAACCAGAACCACTATTGCATTAAGCATATTAAATTATAAATACTAGAAATGAAAGGTTTTTTTTAACATACACACAAAGAGTACCTGGTATTTAGCCTGAGTGTCAATATCTCGTATCGAAGGGTTGGGGTCAAATGCAGGGTGAGAGTGGTACCACCCAATAACACTGTACCCTCTAACAGCCAAGGTTTCTGAGGCCTGAGTTTGAGACACTGGATCCATCTCACACTGTAGTCCTGTACTGAGACTATTGCATGGTTCTGCTGCACAAATCTGTAAATAACATCCGCATATGGATAAATGGAAACATTGAGTGAACACATTTAAATCAATGGTAAATACTAGATTCTCTTATGCAAGTGTAGAAGAGATGACAGCCAGATATTTTTATGAGATCTTAAATTTTGTAATATCAAGATTACAATAATTAACTTTTCAAATTTCAACTTTTTAAGACTAAAGAACAACTAATTCAATAATCTGTAGGACACTAATTCTTGCATCAATTTTTTTTCAATATAAGGCATTTAACCGATACTTTTAGTGAAATGCAGAATGAACATTGAAACCCTCCCCCACCCAAAAACCCCACCAAGAACAACAACAACAAAAACTTACTTCAACAATTCTATCAGCTTCAGAGTATCTTCCGCCTAACAGGCCTATTACTTCTGCCATGGAAACATGAGCATGCTAAAGATATATAATATATACACATTACTTAAAATATTTGTTAAAAATATCCATTTTCATAACTACTGCTAATCTTGGATTTACATTATAAAACACTATCTTCACAGGTTCTTTCACAGTAAGGTTTAGAAGGAAAACTGAGAATAATAAAGACTTTGAAATACTGTGTGTTTCAATTTAAAGTAACTGAATAAAGATGATCTTTGCCATACATCTAAGTATTAAGTATGTATGAGGTGCTGTTAGTTGGAGAAATTGTCACCATTTAACACCAGGAACCCTCTGTCACAACTGAGAAGACTTTGGCCTGGCATGGCATACTTTGTTATTATAAAGAGAATACGCAAATACTGAATCATCTTCTGGATTGCTGGGCAAATAGGAATCTATTGGGATCATTACTCTAAGTGGCAACATGCACAATGAAGAGATGTTTCTTTTGGAGCAACTCCTATCACAGAAGATGGATATCCTGGGAGAAATGGAACTGAGTACGGATCTGTTACTGCTCTTATTTAAGTCAGTGACAACTCTCTAGTGACTTCATCTGGAACAAGAAGAGGCATTAACAGCCATTCATGCTGGTAGACAGCTTGCATAAACTATGGTTATTATTACAGTAAAATATATAGACACAACCGTAAGGACATGCAGTAGTTTGGGATTTCTCCTGTAGTAGACTCTTGCTTTTAGCTCTAAATGGGAAGGAAACTAATTGAGGAAAATGGGGATATACCAAAATATATACTTCAGTCCATTATAAAACAATGCTTAATCCTTACCAAGTCCATTATTAAAAGTGCTTCTGAAGCCACTTTCACCTGAAATGGTTCCTGAAATGACAAGCAATAATGAGTACAAGAGACATCCTTTAAGTAAATAAATGAATGTTCTTGATTATTCATGAATATGTACCTACTCGTTTTTCTTCAGTGAAGAAACAGCAAGGTATCAGCTGAAAGGGATCAAAGGAACTACAAAATGAAAGAAAATTTCTCTAAAGATAAGGACAATCAATGAAAAAAAAGTTTTTAAATAAATCACATTTTCTCCCAACAGCTCCTTCTTTATTGGAGTTGCTCATTCCCCCGCTCCAGTGACTGCTCCCTAATTACTGGAATTTTGCAATATACACCCATAAATTTAAACGGTAACGTTTTGTAATTTACAATTGTGATGTCAGACTTTTTAAAAATCTAGATTGCAAAGCACATATGTCTACATAGTAATGATTCATAATATTTAGGTTTGAATCTATGCAAGCCAATTATCTATTTCCAAAAGAGATATTGCAGAGCAAACAGCACACAAGAAGAAAACCTTTTTATTTGTCTTGATCCTTTAGAAGGTTTTGCAGGTTTAAGTTTCTCCTCCTCTCTCCTTCTTGCTAGTTCCTCAGCCGAGAGATGCTAAAAAACAAATTTTATCAGTAATGATTGCCAGGTACTTAGATTCTGGACACTAATTTGCACCCTGCCATGCTAGCGGCTTTTGTCACTGAATCACTCATGCACTGAAACAGCCAGAATACACCACGCAGTGTGAAAATAGTGACAGAGCCATTAGCACATAGATCTGTTTTTGCAGGAAGATGGAAGAGACTCTTTCTATCATCCCCAAGGCTTGATCTAATCAGAGTTCAAGTACTGGCATCCACATCTCACATAAGACTTCACTGTCAAATGTATGCGTAAGTACAACTTCCATTATAATCAGCTGGTCAAAACTTTCTCAAAGCAGTTCCTCTTTGGTGCCGAAATTTTCCACATTGTCTCAACCTAAAGGTCATTCTTTGCAGAAAATGGTAGATGCGGCAGCCAAACATTTTAGTTATTAGATCCCATGCTTGCCTCAATCACGAAGCATGGCTGTCTTGTGAGTGACATTTTGTACATACATAAATCAATGGCAGAAAAGTGGATTTTGTTTAAACTGCATGTGTTCTCTAGATTTCAATGAGATCTAATAAACAAATTGAGTTTGAAAGAAAGTAGTTCAGCAATTTTGATGTCATTAATGTCACACATTTTTCCCCACACAGGAAGAGTAGGATTATCTGTTGAGTTTCTCTGCTCATTCTAAGGTTTACAACACTAGGAGTGTTGGCACACAGTAGCCATCTGTCTGTTTAGTCTATATTGACTTTGAATGTTGATGGCACTGCGAAATACTTCAGTGTCATCTAAACTTGTAAACACTTCAGAACTCTGAAAAATCTTACAATGTTGGATATCAGACAATTTTGGGGAGGGGGATGGCATTGTTCACTTTCCTATACTCTATCCCTAGAGGAAAAAGTACAGGGCTGGAAACCTAAAAGGCCTAAATTTTCTTTCCACCTCAGCTAGCCTTAATAAGGTCACAGTAAAGAGTGTAAGAATCAGGACTGAAACCCAGGTCTCCTGACTGCTAGATCTAGGTCTAGTCAACTAAAATAGTGCTTCCTAGGTATATCACAAATGCTCTATTTTTTCCCCATGATACCAATCACTGAACCTGCTATAAGGTCCCCACTGTCTTACAGCTAAAAACCCAAGTTAAAGGTGGGAACTGGTCAGTTACAAATCTATCACCGCTCTGACTGCCGGGGTCCTGGCCCCACTCAGCCCCCCCCCCGCACACAGATTTCTCCTGCGGGGACAGGAGGCAGAAGCTTGGTCATGCCAGCAGCCAAGCTCCCCCCTCCCCCGCTTCTTCCCCCACCGTGGTGCTTTCCTGCCCCTCCCCTTCCCTCTCCCTGCCGCCGATCAGCTGATTGCCCTTGTGAGGCGGAGGGGGAGCCGAGCCACAGTGTGCTCGCTGCTCCGGGGAGGAGGCAGAGAAAAGGTGTGGATGGGGCCCTTGAGAAAGGGGTGGGAACGGGGCATATCCTCTCCAGGCCCCTGGCGTGAGCACCCCCACAAACTGAGCACCCTAGCCCTCTGCCTGACCCCCGAAACCCCCCCACACACACCCAGCCCTCTGCCCTGACCCCCGAACCCCCTCACACACACCCAGCCCTCTGCCCTGACCCCTGCACCCCCTCACACACTTCCAGCCCCCATTCTGACTCCTGCCCCCCCACATACCCTGCCCCCCCCCACACCCCATGCCTTGACTCTTGCACCCCCCCATATCCCCACCCCCACCCTGAGCACCAAACAGGAACTCCTGCACCCCCCCCCACATTCCCACCTGCACCCCTGGTCTCGGGTCCCGGCCAGCCCCTTGCCAGCCGGGGTCCCGCGGGCCCCGCTCAGCCCACTGCCGAATTAGGTGAATGGATCCCTAGGTCGGCAGCGGGCTGAATGGGCTGGCGGCATAAGATCAGCATTTTAATTTAATTTTAAATTAAGCTTCTTAAACATTTTGAAAACCTTGTTTACTTTACATACAATAGTTTAGTTATATAATATAGACTTATAGAGAGAGACCCTCTAAAAACGTTAATGTGTGACTGGCTTGCGAAACCTTAAGTTAAAGTGAATAAGTGAAGACTCGGCACACCACTTCTGAAAGGTTGCTGACCCCTGACATAGTGTATGCTTTATAAAGTATGGCTCATGCTTTATAGTATGACTTGACATGTTTGGGACATGCATACTCAAAGTACATTCACCATATTAGCACAATTGCCTAACAGTTGCTCCAATATTATTTTCAAATCATGGTTTCAAAAAGAACAAATGTAATTTTAATGCTTATTATGCAATCATTTTTTCTAATGCCTTTGATGAGATATCATCTGATAAATGGTTAGCAAGAGTCATATCTACCAGAACAGTTTAAAAATAGAAGAGTTACCTCAAATGTCTGTCCTTCCAAATCCTTGGCATCACACCAGTTTCCCCAGGGGTCTCGCACACGCCGTCTTCTTGTACGCTGTAGGAAGCAGATAAAATACTAGTCAAACATCATCAATCCATGCACATCAAAGCACTGACTTTTGCTGAATTTAATCAGCCATAAAATGACATCCAAATGGTCAGTGGCTCATAAGCATTAAGACTCCCAGAATAGTCTCACTGTATAACAGAGAACTCTTTACTTTCGTTTATATTCAACAGTTGGAAACTTTTCTAGAAATAAATCAGGAAAGGTTTTCCTTAAGCGGTACAGTAAATACCTGAGTAAAATCCATAGATCCATCCATCTAGTACAGACAGCATGGTTTAGTATGTGGGCTTGGCAGATTTCTTTCTTTCTTTAATGTCAACAATTAATATTTATTTTTATTTTTAATTTTTCAATTTTTAACAGTTTTTATTTTTACAGTTGTGGGAAATTGGGCGGTGGGAGGTAGAGTTGGAGTTAGGCCAGCACTGACACTACGGGGCTCCTGGTGTGGCTGAGGGGCCCAAGACACTGAGGCGCTAGGTGCCAGGGAGGCCTGGCAAAACAAAGACCCTTAGCCAAGGCTCCAAGGACAATGACGAGCCCCTGGCTGCAGGGAAGGTCATCCCGCTGCCGCACAATTCCTGCCAGGACAGCCCCCGCACTCCTGACTGGTGAGTGAATGAGTGAGCAGGGCCGTGACAACAGAGCTGCAGAGGGCTCCCTGTGCTGCCGCAGTATGGGTGACACCCGTTCCCTGCAGCCGAATGGTGTGGGGAAGGCTGTGGTCATGGCAGGGCAGAGGAGAGACACCCAGCCAGGACCGCAAGGGAAGGTGGAAGATGAGCTGCCAGCTACAGGGAAATTATCCAGTTGCCAAACGGCTCTGTCCCCCAAGCAGGACTTGAGCCTTCCCTGCAGCTTGCACCTGCAGGGATCCAGCATCATCAGCCTTGCAGCCATGCAAGGAGTTCTTTGCAGCTTCGTCGTCAAAACCCACTCGCTCACTCCCATAATAGCATGGCTGCAGAAGGCTCAATCTGTGCTGCCACAGAACCAATACCACCCAGTCCCTGCAGGCACAAGGTGCAGGAGGGAGAGGCTGCACTTGCATCAACTGTTACTAATGGATATTTTTTTCATCAATTTCAGTGTGTCAGCTGAAATCAACATTTACGGACATCGATTTAAATCGAATACTGCCAAGACTAAATCTACTAGTAAACAACTGCAAACTGTGATGCAAACAGTATTGAGTATGGCTCATGCTTTCTGCATAACATTTTTTATTTCATAGATGGATTTTCTTTTCTGTCACTTCCTTTGTGGGGTTGATTTAGTTTTCTTGCACCAACAGATTTAAATACATAAGATATCTTTACAGCAAAATAAAAATTTGCTATGACATACACTTGTTACATAATTATCCTGCAAATCTTATTCTTTTAATGAAGCAATACATTATTTATAACGTCCCATATATGCTCGGTTATAAATGCTAAGCTCTAAATAAGTCACTCCAAAAACTTGGTAAATGTACACATTAAAATGTAGGCAGCCTCACTACATGCTGCCAGAACACGCCAATGCTTTCTCACAGATGCAAATTATGCTGGGTTTTCTAGCTCCAGACAGATAAGACTTAGCAAGTTGGAGTGGAAGCCAGAATTAGGACAGGTATGACAAAGAGTAACACTGGTGCTAAAGCAGACACTTGAATCAAAGGACACTTAGGAAAGTGATCGAAGCTGAATGGATTAAGAAGAAATTCAGACAGATGCCCTGTATCGAAAGTGAAAGTTGAAGAGGTCCTATTACTGACACACACAACTTTTTATTTTCATCTTACCATAGACTGCAAACGCTGAGCAAGCTGGTATGCTTCTATGGTGTCTTTGCCTTCTTTGGATCGTGTTTTATCAGCTGGTTGTGGTCTGTTATACACAGCCTGTTCTATAGGAATGCAAAGCACACACATTATTGTTCACGAATCCTGGTAAATAAAAAAATCCATATTTAATACAAATCTCAACTAGGAGGTATTACTCTATGATCAGGCAACAGTATAGTCATCTGGTCCTCACTCAGTAGCATACCAACTTTAGGAAAGGAAAACTTCGTTCTTATCTGTGAATTTTCTTTCTAGGACCCTCCATGTCCAGCAGTCTGTACGGTGGGGCATTTTCCCTCCCCGAAGGTTGGAGGCAGAACAAAGTTTCACACACAGCTAAGGGCCAAGATCACCACCTGTGGAGAATCCCAAAATGGTGGCTGCCAAAGCTGAAAATTACTAGCTGTGGGGACAATATGAGTCAATCAAGAGGATGGTGGCCGGTTCCTTTAGGATCTTTTTTCTCATCTTTGCCAGTAGAGGTACGTGAAGAAAGCTGTAAACTAAGCATTATGGCCACCTTTCAGACAGAACATTGATTCCTTCCCTTGAGGCAAAGAGATCTGTGATTGGAACCCTGAACTTTTTCTACACTTCCTGAAATAGAGAAGGATTCAAGCTCCAGGTCCTTCCTGCTGAGCCGTTATGTGGATAGCTTAGGGGGAGAGATGATGCTCTAACAAAGTTAACAGATGTATCACTTCCTTGTGGATGGAGGAAGATTTCGTTCCCCCTTGTTGGCTGATGTAAGCAACTGTAGTCATGTCATCGGCTGAGAGATACATGATGCTGGTGGACTGGCTTTTGAAAGCAGAGTAGGGTTAGTCTGATCATTCTGAGCTCTAGCTCATTTATATGCCTCCTCTTCTTCAAACAGGACAAAGGCTCATTAGCCACTGTCCTGTTGAGGAGTGCTCCCCATGCATGAAAGTTTACAGTGATGGTGATCGTGAATTTCACCAGTTTTGATACTGGACACACTGTTGGAATCTTAAAGGTGATTCAGTTCACCACTTGAAGTAGGAAGTGATTCACTTTGGAACAGTGATTCTCTGTTCTTGATTGGGTGCAATTTCTTCCTATGATAAGAAAAATATATCTAAGCATCCTTAGATGAAATCTGTTCTGTTGTAGAGTATTTACATATGAAACTAGCATACTGAGGAGTTGTATCAAGGACTTCTAGGGATGTCTGATGACCAGATGACACTTAGTGAATTAAAGAGAGGGTCTTCTGTTGTCTCTCCTCGGAAATGGTGTCTCTGATCACTTCTAAAAGCAAAAGTCACTGAGGCTAGGTCTATACTACCCGTCTGAATCGGCGGATAGAAATCGACCTCTCGGGGATCGATTTATCGCGTCCCATCGGGATGCGACAATCGATCCCCGAATCGGTGCTCTTACTCCACCAGCGGAGCTGGTAGTAAGCGCCGCCGACAGAAAGCCGCAGAAGTCGATTTTGCCGCCGTCCTCACAACGGGGTAAGTCGGCTGCGATACGTCGAATTCAGCTACGCTATTCACGTAGCTGAATTTGCGTATCTTAAATCGACTCCCCCCTGTAGTGTAGATGTACCCTGAGATGGCTAGAGAAGAGTCTTCTGCATGTTCAACAGAAACCCATTATCCCGGATGCAGGTTATAATCTCCTTTAGATGCTGAAGGGTGATCTGAGAGTCTCCTTTTCAGGTCTTAAGTAGGGATAAACATGTACCCCCTTTCTCTTAGAATGCAAGACCACCAGGATCTTTGTGAAGACTTGTGGGGCAGACACTAGTACAAATGGGGGAGCCCTGTACTGAAAATGCTTCCCATTATAACAGAAGGGCAGAAATTTTCAGTTACTCTCCTTGACTATCACATGAAGGTAAGCCTCCTTGAGATTTACTGAAGTCATTAAATACCGGGGTGATAAGAGTCGTAATGATAGACTTTAGTGTTTTCAATCAGAACTTCAGAGACCTGGTGGATTTGCTTAAGGATTTGAGATCTAAGATGGCTCGTGTCCCCATTTTTCTTTAGGATCACTAAAAATACCAAGTACACCCCACAAAATCTGTCTTGTTGATACCAGCTGTACCGCCCTAGTGCCAAGATGGCTTTTAGTTTTTGGTGTCTGGTTAAGTTGTTTGATCTGGGAAATACTATGAACTTATCTCTGGGGAACTGCTAAGTTTGATGGCATAACCCTGTAGAACTGCCCGTAGCATCCATTTGTCCAAAGTACACGTCACCTGTATTTGGGTAAATGTCTGAAGCCTCTTGCCAAGTTAAGAGGTCTTCTTGGAAGTGGGGCCCCAGACATAGTCTGAGGCAAACCTTGCTTAGAAACCCACAGTTCTAGGAGTCTCCAATTAGTCAAATTCAAGATGCTTTTGCTAGTCCAATCCTGGAGGCTTTGCTACAACAAGGAGATCCCATGTTTACCCAGGAGTGGAGGCAGAGAACTCAAGTTATCCACAAAGAAGCTGTCCTTGCCCCAGGCTGACTGTCAATCTTTGCTCTGCCATCAACCAACAGAGTGAGAGGGAACATTGCATAGTACAGACTGTAGGACATGAGGAGGGGCTGTGAGAATTATGTACGTTCACTCACAAGACAACTGTGGTTCCTTCAAACTATATACCAGATTAGCTAAAGAAACAGGTTAAATGCTAATTTTCAATAAGTTATGCTTCTCCCATCTTATGAGAAAGTGCAGTCAATAATCAGAATCCATACTTGAAGACACCAAGTATTTTGAAAATTTAAAAGCAAAACAAAAGCACAACTTATTTTCTTTCAGAAGGTCTATAATCTTAGAGCCATATTCTGCAACCTTTATACCTACTAATATCTATTCATACAAGTAGTCCATTAGGATTTATATGATGACAAGGGGTGGGAGGTCAAACAGATCAGGACGCCATCAGGCAAGGTACCTGCCCCAAAGAGCTTACATGAAATAAGGGTGACTGGACACTTCAGAGAAAAAGAGAGATGGAATGAAGATTACCCACATGGATAGTTTTGATTGGACTGAATGCAGAAGGTACTCAGGAATGAATTTAACTCAAAAAATTCTTTTGAAAATACAGATTTCTCTCTACCTTGATTTTTATACCTCATATAATGTACACAACTTATCAAAATGGTTTCTGACCAATAACAGATACTATTAACATTGTGGTTACAATCTGAATGGATGCAGATTAAAATGTTCTTTTTACCACAGCCAAAGTTAATTGCTCCTATTAACTCCAGGTACGTGTGTATCCGTCCAATACAGTTAACATCACCACAGTTCTTAAGGCCTGGCCGTACTGAAGTCTTATTCAGGTATTTAGGTTTACATCGCTCCCTAAAATAAATCATAGGACATTTTCAAACAAAAATAAAATGGATCAGTAAAAATTAAAACAAAACAAAAAAGAGAATAGTGTAACTGTTCTGTGAAGCCATTTGGATTTCCTTGTATTTTTTCTACAGGAATTATTGGGAGATTCTATTTAACATGTGTCACACTCAGACCTAGAATGCTAGTGGTAAACAAGCTTATATTCACCCCCAAAAAGCTACTCATGAAGTAGGATTGTACTGTTTGAGTGGCTGTTTTCTAAAGTACACTCTATGCAAAATAACATAAGGAATAGTCAGAGTACCTATACAGATATCCAAGCTTCAGAGAAAAGTGCTAATTTATGATGGCATTTGAGACTGTGCAGATTTATTCAAATACATGCATAGGGAAAAAGATATCCCCACACAGCATAAAATATAGGCCCTGGAAATGAATGGTGCCAGGGAGCAACAAGTTATTGAAATTAAATGACCTTGTTAAAATAAAATACTTGTTCCCACTCTGTATCACATGTTCTATTGTATTAAACAATTATTTTAAGTAATTGCATAAACAAGTTGTATGTTACTGTGTGATAATCCTGTTTTTTTATCCTTCATGCATATTTACTGCTTTGAAGTCTGTCAAAATTTCCCTAGAAATATGGCAGCTTACAACTACTCCAGAACTAGTGAGTAGTTTATCAATTTATAAGGCAATTAACCTAGAGCTGAGAGAATACTGTAACATTTTTAAAGTGAATACAGTTAGACTCAGAAAACAAAGCTACAGGAGAACCAATTGCATGGCGAATTAGCCTGTCACAGTAAAAACATGGGTTCCTTAAAATGGCTCCATGGAGACGAACTGTACAATATTCAAGTCTCTGAATACTGCTCCCTGTTGAGAAGGGCCCATTTAAAAAATGGTTTTACCACTTTTTGCTCTAACATAGCCACTCTTAATAGCTGACTTTCTATAAATTCAGTCTTTCAGTCTCCTACCTGTCCCAGACTGAAGAATGGACACACATTACAGACATCACTAGAGAACAACTTGAGTGGGAATTTTATGTAAGGTCTGAAGGACAGGACCCAGAATATAGAAGACATATACCAGACCCATGAATATATTGTAATATGCATCCCATCTACATACCATTACTGTGTGATAAAAATTAAACGTATTGCACTAACCAGTATTACTCTATTTTCTCTTCCCTGTTTGGTGGAATACACTAAATTGACAAAACTAGAGAAATAATTCTAGAATAAATTGTAGCCATGTGTTCTGAAGATCGACACCCATTTTCATAATGCTCCAAAACTTTTTCATTGTTGAAATGTAAAATGCTCCTTTATATTTAAGAAAAAAGTGAAGAGGGGAGGGATATCCCACCCATAGCCAATGCTGTTACTTTTCAATCTTGTGAAAACAGCTAAAATATCAGAAGTTTGGCAGCATTCTGAGCTAGGCCATTAATTCCATGTCTGTTCTAACTGCACCAAAACAGCACATCAGCTGTTGAAATGAATGAAATCACGAAGTGAAATCAATTGATCTTACCACTGATCCAAAATGTAATTTCTAATTTTCAGATAGCGCTCTGGTGTTTTGGCCTGACGTCCCTCAAAAAATTCTGGAATAGCTTGCTTTTCTTCTCCCAGAATGACATTTCTATCCATTTCCACTTCTTGATCAGGTGGTTTAAGCTCCTCTTCTTCTTCTTGATTTTCTTCATCCAATTGGCAAGACGGATGGAAAAGCATTTCATTATTAACGAAGTCCTTCTGCTCTTCATTATGTTCTTGATCAACGAATTGCTTGGTGTCATCAAAAGTCCCTTTTTTGTCTGGCTCACTTTTCTCTATAAATTCATTAAATTGCAGATAAACTGATTTCACAGATTCATCGCCATTCACGCTCTGTTTCTCAGAGCAGGTGGCTGCAATGTCTGGAAACTCCAGGGCTTCTACCTTGCCTTGCTCAGCCTTTTGAAAGTTGTCTTCTGCAAATTGGGGAATTGCAGAATTGTAGCCGGCAGACCAAAAAGTGTGTTCTCTTCCTCTGGTTTCTTGAATTGGACTCTTCGGAATATCAGTTAATTTAGATTTGCCAGGTTCCAGTGGGGGTGCATGAGAAAACAGCTCATCCATTTCATCCGTGATGTCTACTTCTTCATCATCAGATAACTTTTCAATTTTCACTGCGTTCAGGTTGGGGTCTGCACGGCCCCTCAGGTTTGCAGGTGTCCAGGCCGCCACCTTCTCTCCTTCATCCGCAACAGGAAGACTATTGCTGCTGTACTGACTTTGTTCCTCTTTTTCAGAGTCATCAGTTTTTGCCTTAAGAAAGTATAAATGGAGTATAAGAAAAATTAAGCATTCCCCAATAATGAAGTTTAAATGAAAAAGAACACTATTAAAATCAATGGCATAATCAATTTGGTTCAGACTAGAGGGATCATTAAGTTTTATGTATTAATTTACAAAGCTTGCCTTTTTTAAATTGGGTCCAATGTTCAGCTTTCATTATGTTCTCCTTCAAAGGGCAGTCCTATATTTCATTATTTTATACTTTTATATAAGTATACATAAAATAAAAGTTTTATATACTATATATATAAAAGGGATTAAGAAAAGACTGGCTGGCAAAGCTTCCAGACTTGTGGATATCTAGCATTAGAGTTAACATTCATCAGCTAATTTATATTCTCTCAGCTCATTTTACTTATAAGAAGAAACTATACATTAAGGCAGGGGTAGGCAACCTATGGCACGTGTGCCAAAGGCGGCACGCGAGCTGATTTTCAGTGGCACTCACACTGCCTGGGTCCCGGCCACCGGTCTGGGGGGCTCTGCATTTTAATTTAATTTTAAATGAAGCTTCTTAAACATTTAAAAAGCCTTATTTACTTTACATATAACAATAGTTTAGTTATATATTATAGACTTATAGAAAGAGACCTTCTAAAAACGTTAAAATGTATTACTGGCACGTGAAACTTTAAATTAGAGTGAATAAATGAAGACTCGGCACACCACTTCTGAAAGGTTGTCAACCCCTGCATTAAGGAAATCATCTTCAGGTTTTTCTTACTGATTTTTGTTTTAAAAAGTAAAACATCGAAAAAATGCAGACTTTAAGGAACTTATGCAGCATTATGGATGTGCGTGACACTTGATATTCAAAATAAGCCCAGTCCAGAGGATACTATAATGTATGTATTTATTAGTAGCTAAAGTATACACAATTGTCTTTTAAAAAAGGTCCCAGAAGAGTTCAGCTGCCAGTGGGAAATGACATTATATTGGACAGTTGCAACTTCTGAGTAGTCAGAGGCCAATCTGTTTTCAATCTAGTAATGTATCCCAAGTATGTGGGTGTCCTATAAAACACACCATATTGTTTATTGCTTGTTAGAGGATTTAAAATTCCCAACAAGATTAGAATAATTCCAAACCAGGTCAAATTTCAGATTTAAAAATCAGCAGATAAGCAATATTTCAACAATAATGTCCCATAAATGCATGTTTGCATTCAAAATATATGAGAGGAGCATACTTGCGCCCTACTGCCTTTTTTACTAACAGAAAATGGCATTTCATGTTTACCTTGTTCTTAAAGTACTGCCTGGCATAACTCTTTACTTGTAGAACAGTGCGACTTCCAACCAACTTGGCAATTTTTGTCCATCTTCGGCCAAATTTAGCCTAGTGTGACAAAATAAATTAAAATCAACGAATCTTTTCTACATCTAAGTATCATTCTTTATGCAAGGAGAAAAAGTTTTACAGAAGCAATTATTTATTAGAAATAAAAAATACTACTCAATCATTGCAAAAAGTCCTATTACCTAGACACTGGACAGCCAGAAATTATGTTTAAGCACCAAGTATTATGAATTCACTGCCCCTTTATTCGGAGACTCATCAATGGCCTGATCCTGAAAGCACTAAAAAAACATACTGGTTATTACCTTGAGGAGTCCCACTGAAAGTAATTAAGTGTTTGCAGGACTGGATCATGCAGTTGTGTAATACTGTAGCACTCTGCATTCCACTCTTGCACACAAAAGAGCTCAACTTACTCAAAGTCTGAACCACAATCTAAATCTGCATCTAAATTGCTTAAATTAAAAGTTTACTCAGAGAGGAGCTAACAGCATATAGTATGTTGCTACAAAACGGACTGACCTCTTCCCTTTTAAGAGTTAAATACTGAATTATAGAAGTCTCATTAAATTAAAGCACTTCTAAATTTAAATAAGTCTCTTAGAACTCTGGTCCTGCTCTTTCCAAACAGGTCCATAGTTGTACATACCCACCTCATGCCATTTCTTAACTACACCGTATATAAAAAGTAAAAATCCAACAGTTCATATATGTGCACCTTCATTCCAAGTACTCTGAATGAATAAAAGACCAGATTCAGACCCTGATCTCGCAAAGATTTATAAACATGCTTAATTTTATGCACTGAGAGTCCCACCAAAGTCAATGGAACTACTCACAGTATTAACAATATATGTTGAGTTTCTACAGGATTGGGGTCTTTAATTATGCACAAAAGGCAATGCTAACGCAACCTCAAGATTAAGATTTTTTTTTAAACTTTAAAATATGGTTCTAATTGAAAGTGATTAAAAGTTTCATTGGAGGAAATCAAAATTTATTGAGGGCCCATATCAAATGTGCTCATTTTAAAGTGAAAAGATTATTTTTCCTAACTGCCAGTCCTACATGCTTACCCTGGGTTCTAAAAGTCAAACTCGGTTCTTTTCTTTACACCCATTACCACTTGTAATAGATAGATAGATACATTGGAGGCCAAATTCCACCCATGCCAAATTCTTCCAGAGTGTCTAAATGCAAATTGACACATGTGTCTGTGCTAGACTGAGGGTGTTATATCATCAGATAAGTGAATCTAATCAGAAAGTTTGCATTGGTTCACCTTAAATGTGAATGTTTACTATGAAACTATGTCCTCAACAATGTTCCCTCTAATTTTTTCCACCCATGTGCAGAATAAATTTTGTTATGTGCACCAAAGTAATGTGCGGATGTGTGCCACCAGTAGAAACAAAATCCCTAGATATAATATATATTTTTTAAAAGTTACCAATAGGGATAATTACTCCAGCCAGGACAAGACAGGCATTTTAGAACTCACTACTCAAAGAATTAAATTTAAGTGTAAGAGAGAAATAAAAATTATGAAATGCATAGACCAGTCAAAAAACTAAAATAACACACTTTGAAAGAATATAATTACAGAGAATATATGCGCATTGCAGGAAGTACCAAGAAGTAACAACAGTGTCGGGAGGTGTGTGACACAGACTGTGCGTGCTGACTGCTCGGGAAGTTTCTGAGAGATGCCCATCTGCTGTCTCTTTAAGGCACTCACTGAAAGCTCTCCTCCTCCTGAACCATGTTCCCCCCTCCCCCGCTCTGCAGAGATGGGGTACATGGGCCGGGGGGGGCAGGAGGAGAGAAAGTGTGAGTGAGCTGGCTGCTGGGGAAGTCTCTGAGAAACCGTGCGCTGTCTCTTTAAGGCACTCATTCACCCAAAGACTTGCTCAGACCTCAGAGCTGCTGTGAGTCCTGAGCCCTGTCCCCTCTCCCCTGCTCTGTGGAGATGGGGTAGAGGGGCTGGGAGAGGGAGATACCCTGACATTAGCACCCTCCTTCCTACTGCTCTGCACAGCCAGCAGGAGGGTCCCAGGAGCAGCTGCAGGAGCAACGTGGCTGAAAAACAGTGGGGAGGGGGGGTGAGAGGGACACCTGAACACATGCTGCCAGCTGGATCTGTCTGGCTCTGCTAATCAACTGCGTGGCATCTGAATCTCTCCTGGGCAGCCGCCCAACTGCACAGCTTACAGGGAACACAGGCCCCCAATCATTCAAGAAGCTCTCTGCCAGAGGACCGATGTACCTTTGCAGGTCTGGGGTCTAAAGTTACCATGTAGGGAGGCACAATACTTTGCATCCTTCTAAATACTGTTTAAGCAGTATTACTTTCAATATTCTATAGCAATATGATTTTCAAAGTCAAAGTAGGCCCATTAAAAAGCAATGTCCACTACAACATTCAAAAGCACTACTTGCAAAGGGCTATTTGCTTGACAAAATACAACTTTCTATACCCGGCGATTTCAGTTGAAGAGATGTCGAAAATAAAGTTACAAGAGTTAGATTTTTTTTAATGGCAAAAATGTATTTTTTACGTTGTCTTCATAATTAAAAAATGGATTAAATATTTTTGCTCAAACTTTCAAGACAATATTAATCTTTTGAAGAAACCAGGGCTGAAAAACTTTTACCTGCCAGGCCGACATTTGCTGAACTTATGAACAACTCAAACATGGAATTAGAATAGAAATACTACAGCAGCCTTTACTTTAGCTGCTGTTAGTGCACCTTCTATAATATTATATATATATAAGCTTTAAAAAGAAAAGCATGCTTACAAAAATCATTAGACGCAATCATTGCAATGACACTACAAGAACACAACTTGCAATCATCCATCCAAGTAGTAATTAAGACTAATTCTGCTGTGTTTTACGTGTCAGATTAGATATATCGTCCAAAGAACAGCAAAGCCTTCTGTTTTCAAGCAAAGAACTAGCAAAGCCTTGCTAAAAATCAATGAGACTGGGAAGGTCCAGGGATTCACCCACCTGGATCTCCTTGCATTGTCAGGGGCCTGTGTCTGTTTATTGTCGTTTTTTCGCAGAGCAATAGGTAAGAGAAAAATATTTTTAGAAAATCTGACTGGAAGTCACAAAAGTTAGCAGGACGATTCAGAAACTGGTGTATTTATTACATATGTTACAGTAATGTCTAGAGGCAACAGCCAGGCTGGGGTCCCACTGTGCTGTACTCTACACCAACATATAAAAAAAGCCCCAAAGTGCGTACATTAGTGTCTGGGGAAAAATGTTTTTTTCAGTTTACTAGATTTCAAGGCACCCCTTCATGTTTGACACTTCCTTTGTAAACTACAGCACTGCTATTGTAACACTGCAATAGACAAATCAGTAGACCGTGGGACAGCCTAAGGCCCAAATCCTGCAACTGGATCTGGGCAGGCAGACCCTTGTGAACAAACCAAGCTATGCTGACTTCGATGGAGATTCACAAACACAGATGTGACTGTGTGACCAGGGCCTAAGTGTGCCTGATTTACCATCCCATTGTTAACAATTGGAAATTATTTTTAACAAGTTAAAAATGAAAAATTAGCAACTTAGTGCACTGCAGTTATTTTTATTTTGCAATGAGAACTCCATTCTTTTTTTTATGAAAAAAGGTTAATATTGCATTTATTTTTTAAAATGAGCTCTTTTTTTTTGTTTTGTTTACAGAAAATTGAACACTGAAAAATACAATATTTACCAGTCCTTGTTCAAATAGCTCTTTTTCTTCTATTGTCCACTTTACTGAGCCGCTTGCTGATTTTGTAGGTGAGCGAACCCTAAAAGAATAAGAAAATACCAGTGCCTTTTTCATGAATGCACATCTCCAAAAGATTACAACAATTTCTGAAATGTGGATTATTATACTTCTTTAATGGAAACTTAGGGGATTTGTTTTAAACTTTTATACTTTTGATGAGAGAACTAATTCTGGAAGGCTTTTGTATTACAGAAGTTAATTCAAAGCAGCACAACTTATTTTGCAGAGGGTTGTGTCTGGGGGGGGACAGGCAACAAGGAAACTGCAAGCAGTAGAAAGCCAACTGTAATTGTTCTTTTTTGTGATGTGGACATATCCTTCAGAAATCAAGTTAATTTAATACAGGCCATTTAACAGTCAAAAGGCAATGTCCCTTTAACAATCTTACACAACCAAAGAAACAAGACTAAAGGTTAAAGGGGAGGTACAACTGACTTTTTATGTTAGTGTTCTTTTTCATTTATGTTAAGTTAAAGAGCACTTAAAAATACAACTCAATTATTCAAAAAGTACATACATGACTTTTCCTGTTTTCTTATGTGGACTGTAAAACAAAAACAAAAAAAATGGTGACTGCTGATCTTAGCAAATATATACATTTCAAAGAAAGTCTCATTCCTGCCCCAAATTTCTACTATTCCATCATTTCTTTTCCCCTCAACAGCAATTTTACCTTTTCACAGACTTTTTGTCACCTTCCTTTTGATCAAGCCATATTTTTTCTGGAAGTGATTTATTAGATAAGTAATACCTGCAACCTTTACTAAGGAATTTTTGGATACAAAGAACAGAACTATATGCATGCAAAAATTCTGATAAAATTGCCACTGGTTTAAAATACTATTGCGTTAAACAAAGGAGGAAGTGACTGTTTGACTTTGTAAACCAAATACTCGCATTATTTCTAATAAACTAGCCATTCTGCTTCCTCCACAGCCTGTTTTCCCTTATGACTTTGACACAGTAGTAGGACATTTTCTTCTCATCAATATCAAACACTACAGCCTTTTTGCAATTCAAGTCTGAATAATTTATTCCCTTGGTAAAAATATTCTGTACTGACACTTTGTTGTTCCTCTGTAAAGTACTTTATTTCAAAGAAAAAAGGACAGGAAAACAGAGGTAACTCACATTTGTTAATATGGTCACCTAGCCAGCTAACTGGGATTAAGTATCTCAGCAATATTAGGAGCTCTCATATTGTCAAGAAGCATGAAGTGTTTCTCAGAAGTGGCATTAAAAGAGTTCTTGCAATGAATGGATTTTTTTTTTTACCACCAAAGATATGAGTGAATGTTAAGTGGAAAAAAAAAACCAGGAGAATCATGAAGTTAGGGATGCATATATGAACTTTATGGATGTGTATATGAAAATTCCCTTGAAATAAAATACTTTGCAGTTATATAAACTCTGTCATCTGAGAAATGAAATGTGCTTTATATGCATTAATAATCATCACATCAGCCATCTGTGGTATTACTACTAAACTCATTTTAAAGATGGAAAACAGGCACAAAAAGGTTAAGGGTACATCTATGCTGCAAAGAAAAACCCGTGGCACCAACTCTCAGAACCCAATCAATTGACTCAGGCTTGTGGAACTAGGGCTGAGGGGCTAAAAATAGCAGTGTAGAAGATTCCCACCTGGGTTCTGAAACTCATAAGGAGGGAGGGTCTCAGAGGCTCCAGACCGAGTAGAACCATCCACTGCTATTTTTATCTCTACAACCTGAGCTCCATGAGCCCAAGTCAATTGACCCAGGCTCTGAAACTTGGTGTAGCAGGTGTTTTATGGCAGTGTAGACATACCATATGAGACTCGCCAAAGCCTGAGGAAGCTGAGGGTTGCAGAGTGGCTGAGCAGGGTACTGAATTCAGGTGTATTATCTCATACTTCCATGCTCTAACTACTGGAGCACAGTGCTTCAAGTTCAGTAAACACTAATCTCTTTTAAAAGAATCCACTATATATCTGCTTCCTACTAGAACAGAGGATTTTATATTGCCCTAGGAAAGGAACAGACATATAAGCAATTTGATAAAAGGATACTCTTCTTCCAACAACATTTTCTCAATGACGGCCCTGTTCTCTTCACTAATGTTGCTATCCAGTGTCCATGGCTGAAAATGACAGACACATTTTTCAATTATTTTCTTTGACACACAAATATCTAACACTTCCTCTAAAGCAAAGCCAATCACAGGGGTGTTTTTTGTTGTTGTTGTTTTTTTTTTAAAGATAAAAACATTAATTTATGTTCTCAAGTGGCTGGGGAATAAATACAAAGTTTTGAAAATCTCTGTGAAAGATGTACCATTCATTTAAAACAGACAAACCAACCAAAAAGTCTTTATTGCCTATAAATTACTTACAAGGCCGTTATCCGTTCTCCAAGATGAATCAAGGTAGTGATCTTGCAATAAGCCAGAAGCTATATTTTCATAGTCTCTGTAATAAAATTTTCAATCATTTTAAAGAAGGAAAAAAAAAGATCTGAAAGCTCATATCATCAATAATGCAAACACTTGAAAAGAAAACAGGTAACCTTGTCAGAATTGACATAAAAATTGGGACTTTTATAGTGTTACTTGTATTCATTAACATAAGAATAACACAGAGATTCTAAAATTAAAAGAGGTCATTTATATTTTGTAGAAATATTATGTAGGCCTAGCCTTTCATAACATTTCCATTGAGCAAAGTGTAAATGAACCCCTCACAGAAAGGGACCTAACCTTTTCTTTAATATTTTTCAAACTGTTAGGGCTCTTACTAACAGTAGTATCTCTCTCTTCGTGTTGTAGAATCATGCATAAAGTATCAGCAAAATCAATTTCTGTTTTACTGAAAAGTTAAAAATTTTCTTCCAAAAGAGACTGAAAAGAAAGTGGGAGCAAAGCTGTGAAGTATAAATACATAACACAGGCACCAGAGTCTTGTAGTTGTTAGAAGACAGAAGTTTTATTTTCAGCTGTCACTGCCTTCTTGCTTGATCCTCATTTAACCTCTGTCCCTCAATTTCCACAGGTGTAAAATAGAAACAACCCCCTTGGTAAAGGTCCAAGATCCCTGTAGGAAAGCTACTATTTTAGAAAAATGTAATTCTTAAGGAAAATCAAATATCAGTCTTTAATAAAACTGGTAACCAGGGCCGGCGCAACCAATTAGGTGACCTAGGCAGTCGCCTAGGATGCTACAATTTGGGGGGCGGCGACTGCGGCAGTATTTCGGCGGCGGAACCTTCCGCCACCTCTGTGGGGGGAGGCATTTCGGGGCGGGACCTTCCGCCGCCTCGGGCAGCAGAAAAGCTGGCGGCGCTCCTGCTGATAACCTTCACATGTACTAGTATTTAGGGCACAGCTGTACGATGTGATACCTCATGGCATTAATACTTTAAGAAACCCAGAAACAAGTCCTATGGTTATAGAAGCTCTCACTTTAGTATATTGCATATATTGTATATGCTAAGTAAGCTAGTGGAAGCTGAGGGAACACTTTGGACTACTAAGTTTTTTTTTTGTTTAGCTGCATTAAGTAAGAAATTACTGTAATTGAGAGGAAAATGGGCAATTCCTATGAGAACTGTTTTGGAAAATAATATGTATTCTTAAAATCTTTTATATTCCCCTTCAGAAAGGGACAAATATTCTGAAAGTATTCTGAGTTTAAGATGCTGCTGCTGTGTGAAGAATAAACACATCAGCATTTGATTCACTTAGAAGCCATCATTTGAGGTTGATGATGAGGGTAAAGTATCGTCACCTTCCGCTAAGCATAAAAAATTGCACTGAGATTACAAAAGGAGAAAGAGACTGAGGACTGTGGGGTCCAACTGCACATGCAAATCCTTTCAATAAAGGGAAAGCAAAATGCTAAAGTGCCTGGACTTCCTTTGTGACCATAAAAAGTAACAACGAGTAAAGAGTTTTTTAAACTTCACAGAATCATTGAAAGAGATGGAGAAAAACTATTAGCTCATTTACCCCAACATCCTGTCACTGCAGGATTGTTATATCGGTCATTGCTTTGTCCAGTCTAATCTGGTCATTTTCAGGGCAAGTCTACAAATAAAAAGCGGCAGCGCTGTAGCTGCACCGATATAGCATATTTTTGAGAATGCTATTATGTTTCTCCTGTTGGGGTATTTCACCTCCTCGAGAGGCGGTAGCTATGTTGACAGGAGAAACTCTCCTGTCAGCATAGTCCTGTCTACACCAGGGGTTAGGTCAGTACAACTGCGTCACTCAGAGGTGTGGATTTTTCACATCCTGAGCGACATAGTTATACTGATATAAGTTTGTCATCTAGACCTGGCCTAAGTGAGGCAATTACTATCGTCCTGGGGAAATTACCATACAAACTGACATTTTACTGTTGGAAAACATTCCCTGATAATCAGCCTAAGATTTCCTTACTTCAACTTCATCCAATTACTAGGAAACTCATCCTTCCCTGAAAACAGTTATTAGCCATGTACCCCCCTGAGATGGTGCTGAAAACAGTTTAACCGATAAACAAGACTAAACTCTTTTCTCCCACCAGTTCCAGGTATCCCACTGGAGACAATATATCAGTTTCTTAGAGTGGAGAAAGCTCTAATTATAGGCCCCCTTGGTACATACTAAAAAAAAAAAAAAAATTAATCTTCCTACATAAAATACATTTGACCCAGAACACCATTTTCAGAAATATACAAAAAATGTGATTTTAGGCATCAGAAAATTTGAGAACCATGAAGATGGGCAGTGCATGCAATAAACACCCCAGGTTACACACATCCCACATGGGCTCCTTCTGCAAAACAGTTTTATTTTATAAAGCACCTGTCACACACACTATGGCTTGGCCTACACTGAAAAGTTATACTGGCATACATATGTCAGTCAGAGGTGTGAAAAAACACACCTGACTGAGGTATCTATGCCAACAAAACCCCAATGGAGATGCACCATGTTGACAGAGGAGGGCTTCTATTGACATAGCTAACTTTGATCAGGGAGGTGGTGTTCTATGCAGACAGAAAAACTTGTGATAGCAAAGGCTGTCTTTATACTACAGGACTATGCCTCAATAGCTATGCAGGTGTAGTCTCCGTAGTGTAGACATAGTCTTCATCCCAAAGTTGCTCTGGAGAGTTCAGTATAGATGCAGAAGCTGATTATTAATATGAGCAAGAGAAAAATTAAGAAGTCTGAAACAGGAAAGGTGAGACAAGTGAAGTAGAGCTACACATGGGCAGGTCATATTCAGTTTTGCCAACTCTCACGTCTTGCCATATTTTTCATAAAGCTCCAGCTTCTGGATTCAAGTCCTTAGCTCAGAATCTCCGTTTCCATTTGAAACCAGAAGGGAAGTTTCTAACCCTTACGGTTGCACCCAAGGCTCAAAAAACACAACCCGAGTGGCCCCATGAAGACTCAGAAACCAGGCGGTAAACAAAACTGGCCCAGAATTTATTGTTCTTTTTCAAAATCGTTTCTTTCACACCAATCTCATGGTGTTTGAGGCCAGACTCTGGCTTTTCACACGCCTGGGGCAGCCAATGGCATTTCTATGGCACCTTCTGCCCAAAGCGCTCTCCACCGGGGTCCCTGACCCACCGAAGCGCAGGGCCGGTGGGGGGGGGGGGGGCGACACCCTGGCCGCTCCCGCGCCCCCCGTCTGACGGGCTGTGCCATGGGAGGATGCCCTGGCCCTGCCGCCCTGGGGGAAAGGCCGGTTCCCACCCCGACATCCCCTCGCCCGTGCGCTGTCCAGCCAGGCCGCTTCCGCACGAGGGGCGCCCGCGGCCTGCAGCCGCGCCAGGCTCCCCGCCGCGGGGCCACGCTGCGAGAGGGCTGAAGAGAAGCGAGCCCCGATCTCCCCACAGGGGCCAGGGGGGAGTCTCCCCGCGCGGGTGAGCGGCGTCTCAGGGGGAGGAGAGCTGAGCTCTCCCGGGGGCGGAGTCTCGCCCGCTCGCTCGCTCGCTCGCTCACCCCCGCAGCGCCCCGCCGGCCGCGGCTGCTGCCGCATCCCCTTCGACGTCCACATCCGCCTCCTCCGCAGCCGCCATGATTCCGCCCCGGCCGCCGTCTGATCGCGCGAGAGAGGCGGGGCCTCAGGACCACACCCCCTCCCGCAGACCCGCCCTCCCCATGCAACTGAGCAGGCGCAAAACTGTGAGCATGCGCAGGGCAACGTTTGAAGCCGCGCCCGACGTTCACGCTGCTGCTTCTATGATTCTATTTCTACCCTCTTCGCTTCATCAGTCAGTATCTGCCTCTGCTGCCTGGCGGAGGAGCGGGGCGGGGGCGGAGGGGTAAATACGGGGGAGAAAGAGGAGCGACTCCCTAAGGAAGGGGGAGAGGGGGGCAAATACCCAGGGGAAGAGGGTAGAGGGGGCAAATACCCAGGGGAGGGGGGAAGAGAGGTAAATAGCCAGGGGAGAGGGGGCAAATACCCAAGGGAAGGGGGAAGAGAGGGGCAAATACTAGGGGAGGGGGGAAGAAAGGGGGCAAATACCAGGGGAAGGGGGAAGCGAGGGGCAAATACCCAGGGGAGGGGAAGAAGAAGAAGGTGCAGGAGCTCAGGTTTGTTGCTGATTCCTCCTGCCACACACACAGCTCCAGCTCACCCTCTGATGTTCATCCCCAGATGTTCAAATCTAGCACCCTCCCTTCAGAATAGGTCTCCTCCCAATTCACCAGCCCAGTGTTTCCCCTACCTCTGCCACATCTTGCTAACTGCAGCAGGGTAGAAGTGCTGTGCAATTGAAACAGTGGCTGTGGAGCACACAGTTCAGTTCGCCTTTCTGCTCCACTTGGAGCTGTTTGAATCCTAAATCAGAGTCACTATGGCTGGAGTTGAAAGTGTCAAAGACTTGGAAGTAGATTAGGCTTTTGGCAGGTTTAGGAACTGGTCTGGTCTAAGTCATTTCCTACTGATGTAGTTAGAATAGTGCGAACTTCTAAAGTAGGCATTGTAAGGTGCCAACCACAAGGGGGACCTGCTTCTACTGCAATATGAATAGTACTGCAACAATATAAAGCAGAGCTTATATCAATGCAGTTTATTCCACTAGTTATCTACATTAGTGTCTACATCAATATTGTTACAGTGGTGCAAATTATTCCAATGTAGGCAAGACCCTGATCTTCCTTTCACTATCCAACAGTGCACAAAAGGGGGTTGGAAATCTGAATCCACTGCTTCTCAGTCATATGCTTCCCAGAACTAAGGGACAGGTACCCAGAGAGCACTCTAACTGAAACAGTTTAGGAGAGTGCTAATGTGGATATGAGGCAAAGGTTCTGATTCAGCCTGGCTAGTGTAGATTGCTGAATTGTTTGTGCTTTAACTGGTTCAATAATGAATGATGCAAGTCAGTAGTGTATATACAGCATAAGTGAATGATCATGGGCATAGAGGACATTAGAAACAGAATTGGAGGTCAGGAATTCCTGTCCAAAGCGAGTCTTGCTAACATAGCTACTCCCAAGCATGACCTTACTGTAGTAAGCCATACCAGTGCGCGTAACTTTTTACATCAGTGCAGCACATCTACAGTAAGGGTTTCCATCTGTGCAGCTATATCAATGTATCCTGCAAAAAAAACAAAAAACAAAAAAAAACATCTGGACAGGTGCACTTTCTAGCCTTTTTATAAATTTAACCTAAATAAATAAATGAAATAGAGAATACTTGGTTAAAATGTGCTCCATTCCATTAGGTTCATCTTTCGATTTGTGAAGGCATCAGCTTGTAATACAATGGGAGTTCCTGACCAGCAAAGGGATATTTAGCATTGTCTTCTCTGAATGGAAAATGAAAAACCACTCCAGCTGTCTGCCGTCATTGTAAGGACTGCCAGTGAGCCCAGCCAAGAGGGGAATGTGGGCTGGCTTGGCTAGAGTGAATTACTACATCCCAAGAAGAGTGAGCTCTAAGAAGTCTTATGCTCTAGGATGATCAAAGACTCCACTCACCCTGGGCTGAGACTATGAACCTTGGCTATGAAATGCTCCTGTTGTCTTGGAATAAAACTCTGGCACAAGGAGTCCTTTCACTTTCATTGGAAGTGAGGCTGTGAGAAGCTTTTTGTTTTAATTTAGGGAGCTCTGGCTGAAGCCTCTTTCCTCTGGTTATTTGAGTTTCAAACCCTGGATGAATTGTTTTTTTCAGATGGCCTTGGCTTTCCAGATCTGTTTTTCAGTTCCATAAGAGACCTTTTACCCTTTGCGCTAAATTAGATCAACAGTGATAATGATGGGGATGGCAAAATACAGCAAGGGTAAGGATCATTATCAGGTAAAACATGACTTCAGATTTGGTTCTATTAGAAAGCTTTTATACAATTACCAACCAATAAAAATATGTCCAATTTAAAGAAAAATCCACAGGAAATACTAAAATTAACGAACACTTCACTGCAGTATATGCAGTCTAAACATTGCAGCTTTGTGCTAGAACATGTGAGCTTGAAAGAAACTCATTACAAACAACTGTGAAACTGACTAGTGTGTTTTCATTGTCCATGCTGAGAAAAGCAAAAAGTAAACAAACAGCATAGATCAGGGGTAGGCAACCTATGGCACGTGAGCCAAAGGCGGCACGTGAGCTGATTTTCAGTGGCACTCACACTGGCCGGGTCCTGGCCACCGGTCCGGGGGGGCTCTGCATTTTAATTTAATTTTAAATGAAGCTTCTTAAACATTTTAAAAACCTTATTTACCTTACATTCAACAATAGTTTAGTTATATATTATAGACTTATAGAAAGAGACCTTCTGAAAATGTTAAAATGTATTACAGGCATGCGAAACCTTAAATCAGAGTGAATAAATGAAGACTTGGCACACCACTTCTGAAAGGTTGCCGACCCCTGGCATAGAGAGTGACATGTAAAATGAAAATATATTTTTATAATCTTAGTTGCTGTTTGTAACATAGGAAAGGAAATTTATGTAACAAACATGATTTTAACCAAACACTAACAATTTAATTAAACTTAAATATACTGGTTAATATTGTATTTGAATATTTAGCACTTTTTGACTAACCTCAACCATTACTGGCCAACCGCAACCATTCAAAAATCTTGAGTCAGGCCCCAGAAAATCTTGATAGATCATCTTAAAAGTCCTGATTTTAAAAAATAATAAATCTAGGATTCTTATTTTCATTCTGATTTTTGAGCCTGTCATGTTCACTTTTTCAAGCTTTACTTTTCAACAGCAAGGGGCTAGAAACTTAACTTATTTTTTAACATAAAAGATGAGATTTGTTCATGCTCATTTAACTCTTAAAGCTGGGTCTCTAAGAAAGACACCAAATATCATGAGATTCATAATAAAATCAAGAGAGTTGGCAACACATAGTAGATCAACAATGGGCTTTATATCTTTATGTGTATATATATTTACCACCTCTGATCATTAGCTTCTTTTTACCAGCCCCAGCTTCATTCTTAGTTATCCTTATATCAATCGTTATCAACCGTGCCCAGGTACATATGATTTTAATGTCTGAACTAAATCCTATATATCCAGATTGTGTGAAATTATAATCTTGCACTTAAAATGTATTCCTCATCACAAATTCATCTTATTAACATTTTCTTTTTCAAAAGTGTTACAATCTGACCTTGGTTGTCACTTGTGCTAAATTCTGCTACTTGCAGCGGAGTCTTTTTGAGGCTATTAGTGGCTTGTAAGTTTGCTTTCTCTCCCTGAGACCAGCTGACAAGTGAGTTTACGGAGTTAAAATGACCAGCCTTGCAAGCACAATGCAATGGGGTATCCTTGTTGTTGTCTAAAGCATTAATGGCTGACCCATTGCTCAACAACAAATTTATCAAGTCACCATGTCCATGTTCTGCTGCAAGATGCAGTGGAGTCTTTCTCCAGATATTTTTATCATCAATATTTTTATTCTTCCCTGCTGTCAAAAGGATCTGTACTATCTCTGCATTGCCTTTGATGGTCGCATAGTGCATCGGTGTGCAGCCATCCATGTCCTTAATTCCAAATCTGGCCTTCTGGGCTAACAGAACTTTAACTGTATTGAGATGGCCTCCCATAGCTGCAGTGTGAAGTGGGGTCTTTTTCTCCTTGTCCATTGCATTGGGATCAGCATTAAAACTAAGAAGCAGCTCCACCATTGCATGATCTCCCTTTTCAGCAGCAAGATGTAAGGGTGTCTCTGACTGCTTATCCTTTACATTAACGTTGGCTTTGTGATTCAGCAGCTGTTGAGCAACATCAACATTACCTCTTTGGCTTGCGACATGCAAGGGAGTGACTAATTCCTTAGTGACAGCATTAATTTTGGCCCCAGCATTGATTAAAATGTCAACTATTGATCCCTTATTATGAAATGCAGCAACATGGAGCGGGGTTTGCTCTCCCTGGCTTGTGATGTTAGCATTCATCCCTTTGCGGAGAAGCAGATTTGTTATGGAGACTGCCCCGGCTTGCACTGCCAAGTGTAAAACCGTGTTTGAGTTGGGCATCTTCTCCTCCAAACTAGCCCCCTTTGCGATGAGAACTTCAGCAGTCTCTGTTTTACCCATTTCACATGCCATGAGTAAAGGTGTGTACTGCATTTCATTGTGGGCGTTGATATCTGTGCCTCTGTCAACTAAAGCTGCTACAATGCCATGCAGGTTCTTCTGGACAGCTTTAAAAAGAGCTGACACCATCATGTCAGGGGACAATCCTTTAGAATATTCCAGCAGTATTCTGAATATGGATTGTCTGTTATTATTGAAGGCTACATCAATGATGTTAGAGTCAATGCTGGCACCAGCTTCTAGCAACACCTTTACAGTTTTCTCAAATCCCTGGGAAATGGCATAACCCAAAGCAGTCTGTCCCTTCTCTTCCTTTGCATCAACTGGGGCACCATTCTTTAAAAGCATTTGTGCCAGGTTGCTCTCA